TCAAATAACTCAAAAACCCAATAACTCAAAAATTTGTAGTTCAATTTCCACTAATTGCAACACTACTACTGTTACTGTGTCATTAAGCAAAACACTTTCAGACCCACTGTCTTCATACACTGGTTTATGAATGAATTTGCATATTTGTCTATTATATAATAATAGACAAATGTGTAATTATTATTATACATTATATTATATTGTATATTTTACTAAAATAAATAAAATCTTGAATTATTAAAATGAATCATGATTTGAGTCATATTTGACTAGTGGCCTAACTCAAAAGGTAAAAATCACTGCCCCCTAACTCAAAGATTTGTAGTTCAATCCCTAATAATCGCAAAACTACTACTGTTGCTGTGTCACTGAGCAAAACATTTTCAAACCCACTGTCTTCATACACTGGTTTATGATTTAAGTCTATTTTTTTGGCTACATAAAAGCTGTCAAAAAATAATTTGAATTGTAATTTGAGTAATTTTCACAATAATTTATGTATGTCAAAAGCTCAAATAACTCAAAAACCCAATAACTCAAAGATTGGTAGTTCAGTACCACTAATTGCAAAACTACTACTGTTACTGTGTCATTAAGCAAAACACTTTCAGACCCACTGTCTGGAACGAACAAGGAGGAACGAATTGAAATCAGGAAATGAGGCACGGACAGAATCAACCGTGATGACGGCGCGTTCCTCCTTTCACTCACCTGGGACACCCTCCTCCAGAGACACCGGGCGACGGGAGGCGTGGTCAGTCAGAGCGACCTGCAGGTCCATCAGACTGACCACGCCTACAGGAAGTAACAACAGCTGATATACGACACGTCACCACCAACACCGGTGACAGTTCTGAAGATGACTTGCAGCGAGCAGCCGAAACATGTCAACAAGGTAAATACACTTTACTGCATTGTCTTTAAAAAGAACCCAAGAAGTTAAAGTATATAAGAAGACAAAATGAACATCTTTGGTTTGTAGTTCAATTCCCACCAACAGCAAAACTTTTACTAAAACAAATGAATAAAGAATTACGAGAAAGAATCATGATTTGAGTCATTTTTGACTAATACACACTGATAGCAATTCTGCTGATGTGGCTCCATGCATTTTTTTTTTTTTTTTTACCAATACCCATTGAAACACATCAGTTAATCAAGAGAGGATTGGAGAAAGAAGGAAATTAAGAAGAAGAACAAACTATATAAGAAGTAAATATAATAAAAATACAAGAAAACCAATCAAAAATGTATCAATTCAAGTCGCTTACTGTTTTTTGTTTATCCAAAGGTGCATTAAACCCAGTACCATCACCTGCTCGCGACAGTAATTTATGGTGTTTCCATGGTGATGCAGCTAAGACTGTACGTGCAATTTTCAAATATACGATCATTCTTGTTTCACAATACCGTAAACGAGCCTGAGCTTACGTAAACGTCTAGATAACCGCACTTTTTATTCATGTATTTATTTATTTATTTTTGATTATTTTGGCCAACCACATTTTAAGATACGTGGACCGAAGCGTGCACGGTTGAGTAGCCTGCGACCGTGGCATCTTTCACTTTTTTTTTTTTTTTTTTTTTTTTTAACACATTGCCTCTTTTTGTTTCCGTACATTTAAACGCTAAATGAACACATCGGTTTTTTTTGAACCGTGCGTAATTTCGATTCTGTCCCTATAGGTGGACGCCGGTCTACCCATCGACCACTGAAGGTCATTTTGATGCTGTACCCGAGCCACTGGTCTAAAATGGATGTCCTTTCCACCGCTTTGGAGGGCTCCGTGTCGGTGGATGCGGCATTGAAGTTAACGCGAATTGCTCGTTAAACATTCTCGCCAAATTTACGCAGCGTCAACAATTAAACTAGCGCGGTGAACATGCCTGCAGGGAGACGCGACAAAAAAAAAAGCATCGTGTTTTAATAAATCATCGCAAATCGTGTGTGATTAACAGGATAGTTGTGGTTTTTTGACGTCGTTTTGTGCGTAAATCGGTGCCAGAGCCCAAAAGCGAGCAGCAGCAGTGTCTAATTTCTCCAGGGAAAATCGGAAGAAAATAGCCATGCATTCACTCACCATCTCTACGGTCAAAATAGCATCTCCTTCTCATCTCCTCCGCTCGTCTCCTTTCCTGGATGCTCGTGGAAGATGAGGAGGAGGGGTGTGCATCATCGGGGGCAAAGCGAAGCGTTTATCCGGTGCGAGAAAATCCAGCCGTAACCGTGAATCCATCGTCCTTTTTGTCACTCCATAAACGGCGCTCCTCGCCGAACGAAACGACGGCGACGTGTTGTAGCGGCATCACTCCCCCCCATCCGTGCGCACCGAAGGATGAGACCGCTCCGAGGAACGTGCGTGTGTAAAAAAGAAAAAAAAAAAGAAAAAAAAGAGAGAGAAAAGTGTCGATTCTAGCGTCGTCCTTTGAGCATACCTCACCGTTCACGGATGGCTATGAAATGCTGCGAATCCGTGCGTCGTGGATGTTGCACCGCCGGCTGCCCATGCGCTTTTCGGTGCCCTGTTTACAGTCACTGCAGCTGCAATCAGAGCGGGAGAGAGAGAGCAAGAGGCAGATAAAGAGGGAGGGATGAAGAGATGCGTGCACTCAAACCCGCAATTATTCAGGAGACAATTACGCGGCGCGCTTGGGCATTTTGGCACGGACTTCGTTTTTCGTTAAGCAACCAAGTATGCTTTTGTTTCTTCTCTTTCTCTCTCAGTCTCGTTCGTCATGAGCAGCGGCATCCCATGCGCGTGCTCGATTGACCCAGTGCACGGCAGCAGCAGCGGTGACGCGCGTCTATAGGGTTAATAATAAAGCTCCAGGGACGTTCGCCGATTTATTCTGATCGATAAAAGACGCAGCTGCCGCTCGACTGACTGAAGAGAGACCATAGCTCATTTGTGCCATTGTCACGTTTTCATGATTGACAGCTGGTTCATTGATGTCTTTAATGTGAATCAATTCTACTTAAAGGTCCTGTATTGTTCACATTGTGAGCTTTGAGCCATACTGGAATTGTTACTTCATCAAAAACATACCTGGAGTTTTGTTTCATTCACACATGGTAAACCTTTAATACTAGTCTGTCTGCATTTTCAAAAAATCAGAATGCGCTGTTCCATCTTGTGATGTCAAACTGTAATTTTCAAGTTGACAGTTTTACCTTTAGTTCAGTAGAGATTGGCAGTTCCGGGGCTGAAATCATCCATATTTTTCTAGTGAACCCTAACCCTAAAACACAGAGGAGAACTTCCTGTACTACCACATGACATCACAATGTGGAACAGAGTGTTTACTGTTTGAGAGAAGAATTTGGCATAAATATGCAGCGTTTGCAGGTTAAACATCTGAATGAAACAAAACACAGTTCCAGGTCTGTTTTTGACATTATAAAAGAGATTAGAAAATGGTGAAATATGGGCACTTTAATTACTTTCTAAATAATAATCCTTCCAAAATTCCAAAACAGCACATCTTCTGTAAATTAAAGTTTTAGAATTAAATTGCGTGTTTTTTTTTTTTTTTTAAATCCCACTTCATTCAAATATTGTAACTACAACTTTTCTACAGCATTCACATTTTTACACACACTGTAACCCTACATTTGACAGCAGTTTAAAGTGTGAGCAGATATATTAAAACACCAGCAGGTGTCACCAAACTGCAGGCCACTGTTTAAGTCTGACCGCTGATGGTTTCATGAGCAGAACACTGGAGATGCACACTGAAGCCTGTCAGACCAGGCTCTCTGCTGAAGGAGAATGGTGTTTAACTGATGAGCAGAGAACCAACATAAAGCTCCAAGTACCTCCTGTGTATGTGATAGTGTAGAGACAGTGGAGAGACAGTGTAGAGACAGTGTAGAGACAGTGAGAGACAGTGGAGAGACAGTGGAGAGACAGTGGAGAGACAGTGTAGAGACAGTGGAGAGACAGAGTAGAGACAGTGGAGAGACAGTGGAGAGACAGTGTAGAGACAGAGTAGAGACAGTGAGAGACAGTGGAGAGACAGTGGAGAGACAGTGAGAGACAGAGAGAGACAGAGGAGACAGTGGAGAGACAGTGGAGAGACAGTGAGAGAGAGACAGTGGAGAGACAGAGGACAGAGTAGAGAGAGAGACAGTGGACAGTGGAGAGACAGTGGAGAGACAGTGGAGAGACAGAGGACAGAGAGAGACAGTGGAGAGACAGTGGAGAGACAGTGAGAGACAGTGGAGAGACAGTGGAGAGACAGTGGAGAGACAGTGGAGAGACAGTGGACAGAGAGACAGTGGAGACAGTGGAGAGACAGTGGAGAGACAGTGGAGAGACAGTGGAGAGACAGTGGAGAGACAGTGGAGAGACAGTGGAGAGACAGAGTGAGACAGAGTGAGACAGAGAGAGACAGTGGAGAGACAGTGGAGAGACAGTGGAGAGACAGTGAGACAGACAGAGAGACAGTGGAGAGACAGTGGAGAGACAGTGAGAGACAGAGTAGAGACAGAGGAGACAGACAGTGGAGAGACAGAGTGGAGAGACAGTGGAGAGACAGTGGAGAGACAGTGCAGACAGAGACAGTGGAGAGACAGTGGAGAGACAGTGGAGACAGTGAGACAGTGGAGAGACAGTGGAGAGACAGTGGAGAGACAGAGTAGACAGAGTGAGACAGACAGTGGAGAGACAGTGGAGAGACAGTGGAGAGACAGTGGAGAGACAGAGAGACAGAGACAGTAGAGAACAGTGGAGAGACAGTGGAGACTGACAGACAGTGGAGAGACAGTTGGAGAGACAGTGGTCAAAGACAGTGGACAGTGGAGAGACAGTGGAGACACCACACGCCTGTGAATCCCACAGTTACTGGTTCAAAACTAGACTCTGGTACTTTGACATATTCCAGTGAGGATATTCCAGAGTATGGTTATAACTTTCTATTTGCAATCATCTGACACAATGGAACAAAAAAAACAAAAAAAAATAAAACCATAAATGACCCATTACTGAGCTCTGTTTGTCAAAATGGTCCATTTTTAATTCTCTCCAATAGTCATAATTTTAGTCTTAAACTCACAGATTACAGTGGATGTTGATGTATCTTACAGCTTCTTTAGAACATGCTGAGTTTGAGTTTTAATACCAAAGCACAGAGCTGTGGAGTCTTAAGACACACAGCAACAGTTCAGGGATTTAGTACAAAATGATCAGGCACAAATCACATTCCTTTTGACAGTGCCCTTCAGAATTTCTTGGCTTAAAATGAAAATAAAAGTAAAGGAGACACATCTTGTCTTGATGAAATGTCTAAAGATGTGTGCACAGATTTGGAAAAAAAAAAAATCCAAATGCAGCACCTGTGCATTTGGATTTGAAGTCTGGTGCCCTCTGCTGACAGCAGTGGAGAGTGGACAATCTTGGAAAGGCAATAAGCAGCACAGCGTCTTAGCGATGATTATTTCAATCAAATTTTAATTATTGTCAAAAGTTAACTTGTGGATTTATTTTATTTTTTTTAAGGTTTGTGATCTGTTTTTATCTCCATGGACGATTAGACAGGTTTGCTCCAGGATCTGAATACACATTTTGTGATGATTTTTGCAAGAATTGAGATCATGGCTAAAATTTGAATGAGGTTAAAAATCATAAAAGCAGATTTAGCATAACATGTCTCGATCATATATGATGCATTCTTGTGGCTTTAATTTCCCTTTAAACGTACTTCTGGTCACCATGGAATGTCTTAATTTAAAATAATGTCTACTTTTGGAAATACATTTGTGTGTGACAGACTTCCAACCAGAGGTGGGATCAAGTCTTTGTTTTACAAGTCTCAAGTAAGTCTCAAGTCTTTGACCTCAAGTCCGAGTCAAGTCCCAAGTCAAATAGAGGCAAGTCCAAGTCGAGCTTTGAGCTTCAAGTCATTTCATGTCTTTAAACCAAAGTACCAAATACAGCTTAGATTTTTGCAATTAATATGAATTTTAAACTAAATTGTACATATAAAGTCAAAGTATAATAATATATGAGTATTTATAGAGTATATTAGAGTTGTAGAAATTAATTTTGTTAATTTTTCCTTTTTAAATGTCTTGACAAGATCTTAGTGCGAATCATTATGGTCAGAACAGAAAGAATTCAGATTTAAAACCATTTCTCAAGTCCAAGTCAAATTCTAAGTCACTGACCTTCATGTCCAAGTTGAGTCGCAAGTCTTGGTCCATTTTATCAAGTCAAGTCTCAGGTCCTAAAAATACTGACTCGAGTCCAAGTCACGATTTGCAAGTCCCCACCTCTGCTTCTAACGCTTAAATACGTCCAGTTTCAGTGAAGCATTAGGTGTTGGAGCTCCCCCTGCTGTCAGCAATGGGAATGAACACTGTTAAAGTAAACAAATGTCAAAGTCCTTATCCCCCGTGAATCTAAGCTAATAGAATCATGCGTTTACTGTGAACGCAGTTGGACCACAGAATGAGTCCAGAGATGGTTTATAGGCTTAAAAACTGTGCAGAAGAAGTCTAAAATGTTATCTATGACGCAACAATTCAGGCGAAATGCAAACAGAGCATTTCTCAGTGCTCAGGGAATACGATTTTGGATTAGTGGATTCATGAAACAATCTTGGATGAAGTAAAATACAACTCCAGGTTTGTATTTGACTAAAAAGCTAAAAAAAAAAGTCAGTTTTGCATAACGTGTCCTTAAAGATACTTCAGTGTAATTACTACAAATACAATTATGAATACACTTTGGTTATGGCTCAGAATTTTCAGTCTTGCCACCGTCTTCTCTCGCTTCCGAAGATGGCCGCCCACTTGCGCGTTATCTCCAGGTAGATGGTGGGTTTGTTGGGCAGGTAGTCCAAGTACACCGTCTGGCTGGTTTTGGGGATGGCCGTTTCTATCTGCGTGCCCTCGTGCCACTCGTTAAAAGACGTTATCGACATGAAATCGGGCCTGGCTTCCAACGCCGCACTCAACGCCGTCTCGTAGTATTTCCCGTTGATGCGATTCCGAGTGTTTTGGAAATTCCACGGACGGATGCTGGTGTCGATGTAGCCCGGTCCCACGCTCGGAATGAAAATCAGGTTGTTGTCTTCGCAAAACGCGCGGATGGACTCCCAGTTTTTCAGCGTGGAGCCGTACGAAAACCCGTTAGTGGCGAAGTACGTGTAGAGTCCGTCGAAACCGGAAGTGAGGATGTCGCGTTTGTGTTTCTCCTCCACCAACAGCGCGATGAAAATGGCGTCGTACGGCGTGTCGCGGATGCTGTCGCTCGCCGTGTGCTTCAGGAGCTTGGCCCATTGTTCGGAGTTCATCAGGTAGGAGTCGTAGATGTAGAAAAGGGGGAGGAGTTTGCCGTTGGTGGTTCGGTATTTGAAGAAGGCGGGGTGTTCTCCGTATCTATGGAGAGATAAGAGTGAGATTTGACATAAGATTGTGAATCTGTATATCATTTGTTCATTTGTTTTTCAAAATAAAACCAAAAATAAGAAAAAAAAAAACAACTATTTTCTTCATTATTTGTCTCCAAAACCAAAATGAAAAAACAGATAATTAGTTTTTTCAGTTTTTGATTTCGTGTTTAAATAAATAATGGTAAAAATGGATAACGTCTGTTTCCCGTTTCCATGACTTAAACTGTGATGTCGGACTGAACTAGGACTGAACCAGAACTAAACCAGGACTGAACCAGGACTAAACCAGGACTAAACCAGGAGTGAACCAGGACTGAATCAGGACTAAACCTGGCCTAAACTGGTCTCAGTCAGGTCCCGGTCTCGGTCCTGGTCTCAGTCCTGGTCTCAGTCCTGGTCTCAGTCCTGGTCTCAGTCCTGGTCCCAGTCCCTCAGGCCTCAGTCCCGGCCTCAGTCCCGGCCTCAGTCCCGATCACCTGACAGTCTACGTGGGCACACCTCTGGGCCCGTCCCGACACTCAATCCTGGTTCTGTTTTGGTTTAGACCTGGTTTAGTCCTGGTTCAGTTCAGCATCGCAGGTTAAGTCACGGAAACGAGAAATGGCCGTTATCCATTTTTTCCAGTATTCATTTAAACACAAAATCGAAAACCGAAAAAAAAAAAAAAAAAAAAAAAACCGTTATCTGTTTTTTTTATTTTAGTTTTGGAGACAAATAATGATGAAAATATTAGTTTTTTCGTTTTCTTATTTTTGCTTTTAAGTGAATGAATGATACACGGTTTATTGTGGTCAAGTGTTGCTTAAAACGTACTTTTGGATGATGTACTTGACGTTGGCGAACATGGTGACCTCATCGCGTCCTTTGTACGGCTCAATGTGGAAAATGACCTGGAAGAAAGACATAAGAGAAGAGGGGGGATTTTACTTCTATGGGGTATTAACTACTAGCACAAAACATATTTAGGTCACCATGTTAACAATAAAAACAATAAAACATCATATGAATAAAAACAGAACCTAATAAAATCTCAACAACTCAAACTGTGTCAAAGACCAAAGTGAGCAAGTTCGTTTTAACTACCCCCTGTCTTTGCTCTCCATGCTATGTCACTCCCCCTCCAGAGCGCTATCACAACACAATCAGTGTACCGTCAGGAGGGGTCAAATAGAACCTTGAAGAGATCGCTAAATTACTGAAACATGTATGGGTGAAGTTATAGGGGAAGTTCTCCAGGAGGATCTTCCGGTTCCTTCTGACTCTGGCTCCAACAGACTTACATTGGGATCTTGTGGCTCCTCTCTCTGTACCTGCTGCAGTGAACCTTGTCATTTTGGTCTTAAATGTTCGTATTAACCAGCTCTACATGATCATTTCCCTATTTTGTCCCTAAATCAAGATCTGAACATAAATAACGGACCAATCAGACGCCTTCATTCCCCAAGGTCACTCCCACTAGAGTTAGCAACAGTTTTGATTGACAGCTAGTGCGTTTTGTTGCTAAGTTAAGCCCCCTTCACGCTTTTCGTTGAGAAGTGCGGGCACATTTAACAACCTCAATCATGACTGGCTCTTGTCGTTGCTATGATACTCGCAGTCTGATTTCCAAATATGGAGTCTGGCTCCAGATTCGCTCCTGTAACCGTGGCAACGTGAGCTTCATTTGAGTGGAGCTGAACGCTGTGGGTGACTTCACACTCGCTTAGTCCACTTCTTTATACAGTCTATGATATTAATATATACTTAAGTCCTACAGAGGAGCTATGTAACTTTTCTGGTTGGGGCTGTTTCCATGGAGATCGTATGGCTATGCCTGAATATCACTGCATGACATTAAATGTATTTATCTCCATAAGGAGAAGCAGGCGACGTCACCAGCCCAAGTTACAGATCAGATCTATAACTGAATAAATGCAAGACAAAAACGTAAAATGCAATTTGCCGCCAATTTCATTTCCTCATTAAGCTTATTTCCCTGTGAAGAAAAGGGTGATCCATGTGGATGGAAAAGATGCAAACTCAAAGTTTAAATGATTATTGATATACATTTATTTCAATTTCTAAATCCTTAGTTACATAATCTGTTACATTTTGTTATCAGTTTAGAGCTTTCAGAGACTTTCCAACTGAATCCAAACATAATCCACTGAATGTTGCATCTGAATGTGCAGTCTTTTTAAAGAGGTCATATATTAACATAATAATATTAATACTATATTAGTATACTATATTAATATATAATGGCCTCTTGTGAGCTTTTAGCCATGTTATAATGTTGTGATTTCATCAAAAACATACCTGGAGTTTTGTTTCATTCACACGTTTCAGTAGCCTAATCCTTTTATTATTAGTCTGTCTACTTTGTCTATACCTCCAGAAATGCTCTGTTCCACCTTGTGATGAAGTCATGAAGGTTTAATTTTGATGTTCACAGCTCCTTTTACCTTTTTTTTTGAGTAGACAATGGAAATTCCAGGGCCGAAGTTAAATTATTCTAGTGAAGGTGCATGGAGTTTAAAAACACAGTGGAGCACTTCTTGTATTACCACATGACACAAGGTGGTACTGAGAGATTTCTGTTGTAGAGACGAATCTAAAGTAGAGACGAACCTAGAACAATGTAAATCTATAGGGTTTGTGTGTTAAACAAAACACTACTCTGGGTCTGTTTGTGATGAGGAAACAACATTATAACACAGACCCTGGTCAGGTTGGGCTGGGCTTATAGATGCTGTGATGCGTGCAGGGGTGGGTCAGAACAGAAACACTGAGGTTTTGCGGGTTAGAAAGCACCTGACTGCATTATATCGAATGTATTTGTACAATGTGTCCATGTGATTTACTCTACATTTAAAGAAGGGCTATTACACTGCTATGAGGTATTAACTGCTAACACATAACATATTAACATCAACAAGGTACCTTTTATTGTTTTTATTGCTCTGAGTCCCCCTGCTTTTGCTCTCTCACTAACTCACACCCCTTTCAGAGCGCTATCATCAACGTACATCTCGCTAAGAAACTACTGCACCTCGCATCAGGTTTGTCAAGTTGTTGTGTAGTTTTGTATCATGTTTTTGTGTGGAAGCGTGGGTGAAGTATTCTTGTGGACGGATTGGACAAAATCTTACAGCTAAACTTGAGGAGGGTTCGAATACGGCCCGGGAGAGATCGTGAAAATACTCAAACATGTATGGATGACATCTAAAACCAGTTCAGGCATGTTTTTGATGAGGAAACAACAGTAGAAATCTCCAAAACAATCAAACTTGCATAATACCACCTCTTTAAAACAAAAAAGTCTTTGAAACAGCTTATGGTTAGGCCAGTTAGGAGCAGTAATAAAGTTTTTGGCTAAGCTTCCCCATGAACAACTCTACTTGTATTTTCCCTGTCAACAACATTCACTGTTCAGTTCACCTGTCGTCTGTTCATTGTTATTCCCAGGTTGTTCCCTGTCCCACTCCCTTCTCTGGACTGCAACTGTTTCAGATGACCTACCTCGGACTGCCCAGTGATCATGGGACCATAGAAGTCTGTCTATGCCCTGGATCCTCCCCTTCCCTCCCTCGTTAGTTAAATCAATGATCTTGTTAAACTCTGTGAGGTGACAGCTGCTGGGATTTTAGGCTTTACCAAAATAAACTGCACTGAATATGTTTTATACGTGTTAATGACTGTTGGCATGTTCATTTAAGGGTTAGCTACTCTCTCCTGAGACAAATAACTCAGAGTTTTTGGTTTCACTAAAAAGGTTTGGATAAGAGTTAGAAAATCAGACTTTATCCTGTCTTAGTATAAAGATTCAAATAATATTACTCAAAAGACCTACATCATTTTGCTGCAGCATTAAAAGTATAAAGTTTAAAAGTTAATATTTTAAGATTTAATTCCAGAGTTTAAAATAAAATTAACAGATAAAATGTTCTACTGTCTACTAAATGTAAGTAAATAAATAATATAAATGAGCCACGCGGTCCAGAGCCAGAGGAGAGGGCAGAACCTCTTTAGATCAGTCATTATTCTCCTGTAGAGCCATAAGCCTCTGGAACCACCTCCCATATGAAATTATATCATGTACAAATAATTAAATGTTTGCACGCCTCAACAAACAACGCCTTTTAATCAAACAAACCTGTCCACATTAATCTTCCCGGTATCAATGTAACAATACGAACTGCACATATGTAAAGAGTGGATGGATGTGGTGACTGAGATTGAATGGGACTAATTGTACTAGTTTTATTGATTGACTGGATGAATAATTGCATTAATATAAATTGTATTTTTTTTATTGACATTTATGACATCAATCTGTCCAGGGACTGAAGGTGGAAATTAGTAATTCTGCTATAACCTGCACAAACATATGACATTTTGTGTAGCTCAATGTTTGTATGTGCATTGTCCAAATAAACTAAAGTCTCCTAGAAATTTTTTAAGTGTACTGTATTTTTTGGACTATAAGTCGCACTTTTTTCATTGTTTGGGTGTTTTCTGAGACTTATACTCCGGTGCGACTTATATATTCAAATTTTCACACTGACAGCCACAAGAGGCTCTAGGCTCGTGGCTGTTCCTATTACTCCTGTACCACTGTCACTTGGCTTGACTGCGCATGTCTCCTGCAGAAAGAGCCTCTGTCCTGCTGCAAGTAGTGAAATATTCAGCTGTAAATTGTAATCGAGCAGCAGAAAGAAAGTTTGGAGTGAGTGAGAAACTTGTGAGGGACTGACGAAAGGCGGGGATGGAGAACACAGCTTCACGGTAACCGGGAGGATGAATGCAACTGTCCTGATGTCATTGGATGAATTGACAAAGCCTGGACTTCACTGACAACCAAAACCATCCTGTCGGGATTCAGAAAGGCCAGAATAATTCTAACTGGAATAGATGCCGAGTCTGACGACAGCTACACAGAAGAGGAAGGGGTACTACGTTTACCTCCGGAGGTCATGGAGTTGCTCAGAAGTGACACCGAGGATGAAGAATTCAATGGATTTAGTGATTTGGAGTGAGATGGAGAGTTTGTTAAACTTGTTCTGTTCTGTTGTTTATGTTATAGTTTATCTGAAGAACTGTTCATATGTGACGTTAACAGTCTGTTGTTCTCTGTTCTATTGTTATTACTAGAACTTGCCTTTCAAGATGAAATGTCGGTTCCTGGTCTCTGATTTTATAAAATAAACTTCTCCCCAAAAAGTGCGACTTATATATGTTTTTTCTTCTTCATTGTGGATTTTTTGGCTGGTGCGACTTATAGTCCGAAAAATATGGTACAGATACTATAATTAAATGTAATAAAACTGAATGATTGGCACTTCCCAGCAGATTTTAGTGTGTGAGGGCATCAAAGATCAGGATTTTGTCATTTGAATCAAATAAGTGTAAAGTATCATTAAACTCTTGTCGGGCCTAATGAAGTGCACCAGGTCCATCTGTGAGTGACCGATCAGAGGTCTCCTTCAGGAGCAGATTCAGGTTAACCTCGGGGTTAGAGGAATAAAACCATCTCTGGACCAGGTTAGGTTCACAGTGAGTTACCATGGTGACTGAGTCTGGGTTTGGGCCAACACCCTGTGAAACTGAAAACTGACCTATTTTCAGGGTTAACAAAGTCTGAGTTTGGCCTAAAGCTGCTTCTTGAAACAGAACATGTGTGTTTTGTTTAATTTGTGCTTCTGCTCCTTGGCCAATACACTCCTGTAAAATGTTTGTAACCTCAGTGTTTTTATAAACCCTGGTTAAATAAAGGAATAAATAAAATCAGTGTTGTTGAGTCAAACTGTCGGATACCTTGATGTGGTAGCGATGAGCGATGTCCAGCAGCAGAGGCATCAGGTTGTCTATGGGCTCTCCATTGTCGTCTTTGTGGTTTGGTGGATACCACGACACCGCCATGACCCCTGACAACACAGTAACCATGGCAACAAGTCAGAAAAAATATAATTCATGACTATTTTTACTTGTACATATATATTTATATAATTATGCCTTATTTGATGTTGGTTTCTTGCTATTTTTGCTACTCGGTCTGAGGGATTACACAAATATAAGACCACATGGGAACAGAAAAGAAAGTACTATGATTTAATGCTGAAAATCACATTCCATTGTTTAAATAAAGAGCGTTTTCCATTAACATTGTGGTATCAGAATGGAAATCGGATGGAAAGTCCCCCTTGCTGGAAGGTCCCCAAGACAGAAAATCCTCCCGAATTGTATGGAAATCTATATATATTTAATCTTCATCACCTTGGCATGGCAACACTCAATAAACTCTGGTGAGCAGGAGTGAGTGCCACAAATATTTCAGGATTTTGTCTTACATATTTCAATGAAATACATACTGTAGTTTGTAGTACATACTTCCTAAAAGTGATTTTGAATTTTTGAACAAATTCTGTAGCTTTCTAAGGGGCCGTTCACACCAAAGCGTCAAAAAACGCCTTGACGTCTCTATTTGGAGCCTTTGCGTTTGAGTTTAGACGCCCCGACGCGCGTCTTTGACGCCGTGGACGAACGGGACAGAAATACTTGACGCGCGTCCGTTGCCCTGGAAACAAGAGCCCGGTCCCGCTCTTTTCCAGAAACAATGTCAGACCGGACTGAGAGAGTGTTTTTATAACATAAAACATCAGCGGAGGAGATCGGGTCGACGACTGGGGCGTATATATATTTCTACTCCGCTAATGACACTGGATCAGTCCCGGTCTAGTCCTGGTCTAATACCGGTCTGGTCCTGGTCTAATCACGGTCTAGTCCCGGTCTAGTTCTGGTCTAATCACGGTCTAGTCCCGGTCTGGTCCCGGTCTAGTCCCGGTCTAGTCCTGGTCTAATCACGGTATAGTCCCCGGGTCTAGTCCTGGTTTGGTCCTGGTCCGGTCCTGGTGTATTCCTCGCGATCGGCTCGGTGATTGTGGCGTATATATTTATTCTCCGTTCATGTTTGTGGTTCTCGTTCTGGTTCTCGGGTCTTTCTTCCTGATAATAACGTCGCTGCGTCTCTGGATACTCGTCCCTGATTGGTTGACGCGGCGCGTCTGACGCGAAAAGTTCAGCATTTTCAACTTCTTGACGCTGACGCCGTCTTGGCCGCTGACGCCAAAACGCTCAAGACGCGCCGCGTTGACGCCAGATTCGCGCCGCGCTGACGCCGAAAACGCGCCGCAAAAACGCAGGACGCTCTAGTCGCGCGTCCACATAGACTTTACATAGAAAGTGGACGCTTTGACGCTTTGGTCTGAACGGGCCTTAAGTTTCTTGTTTTGCGTTGCTTCCAAATTATGTTCATGGCAGCAGGTAAGGAAATAATTCTTAATATTTCTTCCAAATCCACCGTTATAGATGCTATAGGACATGGGGAACAAGAAAAAAATATTTAAAATTCAATTTCATAGTAAACGTCTGCGAGCAGATGAGGATTATATTGATATTACATACTGAAAAAATGTGTGCTGCTTCAGGAAAATCGGTAAAATGACATAAACAAGGCCCAATATTTGGTCTAGCTACATTCACATTTCATTTTATTATGATATAAAATGCAGATTTTCTAACTCAATACAAGCCCAAGAACAGGGGGTGCCCAGAGGGGGGAGGGGAACATTCTCGCCAAGAGCTGGGACTTTCAAGCCAGGGGGACGCTCGAGCCGGTATTAATCAGAATCAATATTGAGTATTGTGTCTATTCCTTAGTACTGAGTGTAGGTTTTGGTTACCTATTGCAGCCATACGCAACTGCTGCATGTGATTCTCCACCACCGCGGGGTCTTTGGAGCTGTAGGGGCCCAGGGCGGGGTAATAGTTGGACCCAATATCATCAGGAGGTACGTGTCTGCCTTGTGGATAACCTTGAGCCACTTTAGCGTCCCAGTGCGGCAACTGCGGATGGTCCCAGTGAATGTATTTCCCGTCAAACTTCGGATTCCCGTACCAAGGATAGTAGAACGCGTGCACATAATAGTTCGGAGGGGGGAATTTTTTCAGAGTTTCTTCCAGCTGGAGGTCTCTCTCTGGTCGGGCGGGCATTTTGATGGTTTTGCTGTCGGCCATTTTGTCTTTCTGGTTGGTTTCAGGGGGTTGGACCAAGCTGACCGGGCTGGAGTCTTCAGGCGGCAGGTTCCTCAGCACCAGGGACACGACGACGACAAGGAAAAGGAAAACCAAGACGGGAATGCAGGTTTTGCGTCTGAATCTCACCATTGTTCACCGGGAGAATGGACGGTTCATGGTCGGAATTGAAGATGGAATGTCCCAGTTTTGGATTCCGTTCATTTTAGAGCGGTGAAGAGTGACCTAAGGGAGTACATGAACATTAGACTTAACAATATGAACTCAAACAGCGAGACCAGACACAATAATTGCAAAAATATTGAAATATTGTATCGTTTAATGTGATGATACAGTATCGATATCGTAGTCTGCTGTATAAATATATCGCCAAGAGCATTTTTTAAATAAATTTTATTCAATTATTTTGTTACAGAGCTACAGTTTTGTTGCTTGTTTAGTAGAAGGAAACTCATTTATGCGACACATTTGACATTTTCACTGTTTTGATGATTAACCCTCCTACACCCCTAGGTATATTTTTGTACTTATCAATTTTTCTTTTTTGCATAACTTTGGCTGTATAGCACCAAATAGCAACAAAACTGGCCAGGTTGTGTATTTTGTGGTGTATTTTAAATTTCTGAGTTTTTTTTCCCCCCAAGATCACATTAATTTTACAGTCTATAATCAAAATAGTTACACCCCGGTCCTTCATGTACATAATTTGAGACATACAAAACTGGCATTTAAGGGGTAAAAATGTCAAAATATGATATAATATTTGATACGTATGATTAGGGCAGAAGTAACTGAAGACAATGGTATAAAAAAGTTGAACACAAATCTGTACTGCATGAAAATATTGTGGTATTCTTTTTCGATGTACATTTTTGTCCCGAAGGACCACAGGTGTAACTATTCGAGTTTGTGCAAAAACTAAAAAAAAAAAATTAAAAATCTGTGTTGGCAATATAATATAATCCCAACACAAACAAAAGAAATTTACTTGAAAGATATAGATAGATATAGAAATAAATTATTTTATTTATTTTTTATTTATTTAAATTTTTTTTATGCACATAATTTGAGACTTTCGCAGACAAAACTGGCATTTAAGGGGTTAAACTTTCAAAATTCTATATATTCAGTAATATATAGTTTAATTGACAATATTTTCCATAGCAACAGATCTCAAAACCTTTTAATTTATGTAACAGGTTTTCATGTTTTTTTCTGATTCTGACTTAGTTTGGTGGGATAATACCTGTGATGAATATTTATCATAGTTTTAAATCTGTTCAGAGGCAGTTTGTGGGAAAAAAAAAAAAAGTTGAGAAGAAAGGAAGTAGCTGTGTGAGATCTAAAACAGAATTCCTCTACCTACGTCATCAACTATCGACAATTTATGCTCAATGAAGGTACTTTTCTGACAATTTAAACATTGATTTAACAAAATAAAGGTGTTATCATTTATTTTTATTAGTCTAAGTATAACTATTATGTAGTTAAAACACGTTTCAACCAGGAAGTAAAATTATTACCACCACAATAAATAAATACACAAAAATAATAATAAGCAAGAAATATACATATGTTTTTGTGAAATTATCACTTTAAACATAAAATTTAGCTGTTAGTGGTCACAATATTAATTCATAAAAAATATATTATGTAAACCTCTGCAGACAAGACATAAGACATGTATTTTGAGTTATTATTGCAGCATTTGAACAGGTATGCAATGATTTATTCTATTTTATTTGCAAACCACGAATTCACAGTTAATTTAAGTTGTTTAAAGGTTAAAGAAATCAAACTAGAACAGTTTAAATTGTGCATTATTGCAAAAATAGAGGACAAGAAATAGCAAAAAACATGCATTCTCAAATCCATGCATTCTCAAATCGACATTTTATCAAGATATTTCCAATTTAGACACGTGCACAACAGTTGCAAAGGTTAAATAGTTAAACTGTACCTGCATGGATGAACTTTAGCCCAATAAACACAAGCAAATAGAGACCAATGTGACTCATCATTTGCATTCTGCGACGAGATTTTGATATTTAAGCCGATTCCACAACGAAACCAGTAAATTTAAATGCGTTACAGGTCTGAGAGTAGATACTAATCCTCTGAAATGAATCTTAGTGCGTTAAATTTGCCCCTAAGGATGCAGAGGACGAGTTTATCCTACATTTCTGGTTCGGTAGACGAGCCTGGACTGCAGTATGGATACGTAAATAATGTGGATAAGGACGAAGACGTGAGTTTAAGGTATCCGGTGAGCTCCAGATGAAATAGGAAGTGGATGCGCGCTGCTGGGCGGGGCTTAAGCGGAAACGGAAGGGATTCGGTTTAAAGTGACACTGCCGCTTTTGTTGAGGAGGAGACATGACTTAAAACCGATAAAAAAAAATTGCTGATATAAACTAAATATAACAAATAAAAATTGTTTATTTGTATTTAAATAGTAAAGGGGCAAACAGTTTGTAATTTTTCAGTTTAAAGGTATAAATGGAGGTGCTAAAGGGCGAATGGCGGGTGTATGTATGTGTATGTAGGAACCATATTTTAAGCTTGAACAATATTTTAAACAATAAAACAGGCCAAAAACAAAACAAACAAACAAAAAACAACTATTAACTATTAAAACATACAATATCTATAGGAAATACTTATAACAGTATCACTCTCCTCTAGATTTTAAGTTACAGTTCTTTTATTTGGTTAAGTATACTTGGTTTTGTGGTCTTGTTTGTTTGTTTTTTTGTGTTTTTTTTTTTGTTTTGCTCTCTTGTGTAATTAATTGTACATCACCCCTCTACCGTATGTGTTATCTGTGTGATTTTGTGTCCCTTTAATGTCCCTGTATTTGAACATATTGAATAAAAGGTTATGTGTGAACGGAGGCGACTCTGCAATGGGAGTCTGGGATTGGTGTGAAAGGGGGACATTTTTTTTCCAATTTGTTTGAGTAAAATATTTGCCTTACCCATACACTGGACTAAGTGAGTGTGACGTCACCCACAACATTGGACTCTAGTCAAATGAAGCTCACGAGGCGTGAATTTGGAGCCAAGTTTCATATTAGGAATAAGAATATTTATGGACAAAATAGAAAAATAAAAACACCAGGACCATGTGGAATGGGTTAATATGAACATTTTAAGACCAATTTTTCATTGTAAAGTCAACTGGAGCCGGAGTTGGTGGAGCCAGAATTATGACCATGCTCACTTCCTATTTGGAATTTTCTAGATCACTATTTCCCAAATTTTTTTCTGGGGACCCATATTTTAAAATTCATGTGTTTCACAATCTGTGGTTTCAGACTAATAATTCCCTCTATTTGAAGATTTTTTTTTTCATTATTTATTTTTATTTAAATTGCTTAGTTGCATTGACAGTTGAGGAATAAAAGATAACACATTTGCTATTTCAAACCTAAACATTCTGCAGCTGCTTTGACTGAATCCCACCACACACACAGAGACACAGTTTTGGCGCTCCTTATAAAAAACTGCTCAGATATTCATTTTTCCAAGGAACTTTTTACATTTTTTAGATGATGGAGCAAATGATGCAGAGACCGAGGAATGACCGGAGGAGGGAGAGGACGAGGGAGAGGAGGAGGAACGAGTCTCGTGAAGTACGGCACCTTTTATGTTGTTTGTTTGTTTCATTGTTGCATAGTGACAGACAGTCAGATATTTTGTGTTTGTTTTGTAAAATATGTAAAAAAGAAAAGTTTTGCTGTTGTTCCATATAAATCCTTAATATATATTCAGTAAAATGGTTTGCACAGGGTTCCCATTAGCCTGATTCAGCATTAGAATTAGTTCGCTCGATGGTAGGTGGGCACTTTTTTATTTAACCAATCACTGCTATTTGGTTGTGACGTATGTAATGCACCGCTAACGGGGCTAACTGGTATATTAAGCTTTTCCCAAATCCTGTAGGAAGAAGGACAATAACGTCTTTCCCCTTGATAAAATTCATCAAACATTCTCTTTGTTCAGGCTTTAAATCCGCGATCTCGGGAATCATTGTCAACACAAAATATATGGCTCTTTGCTGATTGGCTGGTGCCTGAACTGGCACTTCCAGAGATCTTGCAAACCGTCTAGTGTATTCCGATTCCTGACTTAGTCGCTGGAGAGAAATGGAATTGAGTGGAGGCACTAGGTGGTGCCAGTCTGGCTAGGTTCTGAGTCTTTTTCACTGACAAAATTTTAAGACTTTTCCATGACTTTTTCATGATCTAAAGTGAATTTTCCATGACTTTACGGCACCTATATGTGTAGAATTGATCTTACTGTCAGTGCATTTATTGTCGTCTCTTTTAAACAAAAGGCGCAGACGTTCGGAAATAAACATAATGGCCTAATGAGAACGTAACAGAATGCTGTATCTGTGTGAAAGAGATACTAAAATTCCTTGACTTTTCCAAAACTTTCACTGAATTTACAAAATTCCATGATATTTCCAGGCCTGGAGAATGACATTTTCAATTTCCATGACCGTGGGAACCCTGTTTGCAGATTAATGGACTAACTTAAATGACTTAAAGCTACAGTCCTTCTATTTTTGTCTCATTAAACTGTAAATCAGCAGAGTTTGCAATAGACACTTACACAGGCTGCAATAAGCATTAATAACTAAATATTACATAAATATTAACTAATATCTTCATAATTACTAACTAACCGACTTAATTAGCAACAAATATGTGGACCCTACTGAGCAACGTGACTCTTTGTGCTCCAGAGTGATTTACGTCCAGAAGGCCTAAAGGAGAAGGTGATCTACTACACCGCTGTGTTCCTGCGGGTGGCGCTGTGGCTGGCGATCGCGTGGGCCCTGTCGCACCTGCACATGGGGGTCCCCTGCTTCGTGCTGACCGTGCTGGTGTGGGTTTACTCCGAACCCCTCAAGGCTCTCTTCTCCAGGGTCAAGCGACGCCAAAAACCCGACCAAAATCAGGACAAAACACAATAAATCTTCTGCATAAAGAAGGAGAGTTTTGTAATGAATTATTAGAATTATTAAGAATTTATTATTAACCTTTATACTTTTTTACTCTTTGTTATTATATTATATTGTGATGAGTGAGCTACTGTGTCCAAGTAATTTCCCTTGTGGATCAATAAAGTTTGTCTAAGTCTTAACTAAGTCTGAGAACAGATTTGATGAGTTTAAAGGAACTGTGTGTAAAATTTAGATGTTAAATTTCATAAACTTGACCTATCCATGTCCCCAGATAAAAGGTATGTTCAAATCAAGTAACATTATAACTTTTACTGAAAAACAATTTTAATGCCGATTAATTTTTAGTTACAAAAACACTGGAAACCAAACCACAGAGTTCCTTTAAAGTGACAAAAATGAAAGTACAGTAATACCAGTTTTATGTATTTAACTGAAAAAACATAAATTAAAAAAATATAAAACTATGTATATCAGTTATATGAAAATGTAATATTATTTTGAAAAGTCAAAGTGCCCAAAATTAAATTAAAATAAATAAAATACTTTAATTTAATCTATAAATAATAAATAAAATTACACTACAGAAAATATAAAACCTACAATTTTTACAGTATCAACTTAAATGAAAAAAATCTTAAACATTTTCTTCTTCTCACTCCTTTTTGAATCAATTTTTAATTTTTTGTTGTTATTTCTGCTATGATTTCATTATTGTTATATGTTCCATTGTAAAAGAATGTACATTTCTTGCCCCAAATAAATGCATAAATCTCTCAATCTTATAAATCTCAAAGTAAAATTAAAAATTCTCAAAGCTTAATTTGAAATCACCAAGTTCAAAAATTGATAGTATAGGGTAATAATAATAGATTTAAGTCTCCACATAACCAGAAAAATCCTTCAAAAGTTATCATAATAAAGGTAAATTTATAATATTCTATGTCACAGTAAATAAATAAAGTACACACACCACAGTTCTTATTTCCATCCATTTTATTTAACTGTATAGACTTTCAAACAAACTTGTACAAATTGCAAAACAGCTTTTGGTAACACCTCATTGTAATACATTTACTCTTAAGTTCAGGAAATAAATTATGTAAATAAGAGGTAAACATTGAGAAAAGAAAACCGAAAAATACAACCGAATATCTAACTCTGAGAGCGGTCCAACGAAATAAAGCCAAAACATATTTATTAAAAAGAGGCAACTGTTAAAAAAACAATCTGCGGTTTTGGACAATGTACCTTTAAATGCGTTGAACCATTTATTCTTAAACTGAAACTAATCTGTAAACTTTCATTATACATTTGGAAAAAACCTGTTATTCTCAATTTCAACACCAGGGGGCACTATCAGTCTGATTCTTTCTTCTCAGTCAAGACAACTTAAAAAAAAAAAGATGAACAAATTTTTAAATTCTGTATATTTTCTTCATATGTGAATCTTTTCAAATTACATTCAAGCTCTAGCTGATGATTTGTCCATACATTTATTTTTATTTTCTATTTCACTTCCAAATTTTACAAGAATTGTGCAAAAATTGTGGAAAAATATTTGGAGCATGAGTTCAGTCTCGCAACTTTGGTCATTTTAGTTTACTTTCTCTTTAAGTGGGGTGGTATTTGTAGCTAAATTATTTATTTTAAAATAATTTCAAAAGGACCTGTACCGGATTTTCTGGCCAAAGTCTGAGAAAAATCTGTGAAAAACTCAAGTGTAAGACAAATGAGGAATGACTTTGGACCAATGCAAACCGTTTTTTTTTTTTAAGTGAACTAGTTTTGTTTTTCACGTTTTAAGACAAGAAAAAAAATCAGGTACAGCGCCTTAAATAGGTAAGGAACCCGAGTACATGGACTTTCCAAAAACATGCAAAGCCAACACCGTTAAAACCCAAAAAAGTCTGGGAATTGAACCGGGAACCTTCACGCTGTTGCCGCCTAGAAATTTTAGATCACTTACTCGACCCCACTTTTTTGTATTTTTTTCCTCCAAATTTCAACAATAAAAGATAATTTGAGAAGACAATTTTGTATTTTGTAAACACCATCTCACAAAAAAAAAAAAAAATCCCCGCAATAATTTGTATAAAATATTAAAATTGTACGTATAATTCTCTTTTCCTGATAACATTTCAATCCGCATTTTCATTCACGCCGGTCTGTCCACATTCTTTACCAGTTAATGCTTTCGATTCCTTCTGTCCAACATTACCCAAAAAAAAGAAACCAAACAAAAAAATTAAACAAAACATGGTTAGTGCACAACACCACGTGCACATGCAAGGGTTAAAACCTCCGAAATACGTGTGGTTTTCTATACGGATTCAACATCGTACGAGAATCTCAGTCTCTATAGCTGAGAGCGATCAAGGCAAAACAATGTCATATCTATTGGATCTTTCACTCGAGAAAAGAAAAAGAAAATGAAAAAAAAAAAAAAAAAGACACATTCTCGACTTCCTCTCAAAAGAAGTCCTTAATTTACAACACGGAACTTCGAAAATCCAAAAGTCCACCACTGTAAGGTTGGTTAATAATATCAAAAATACCGACGTTAACGACAGGCAAGTCAAATGAATCGCACGGCAAAATGTATGTACACGGACACATTAAGAAAAGAGCTGTCAGTGGAGTTGGGGAGGGGGGGGGGAGAAGGGGGCGGGGTTAGATAGGCCCCCTGTACCTGGGCAGGCGCGGCAGGGGGGAGAGGGGGGGCCGGGGGTTCACGCGGAGAGGAGGGACCGGGGGTTCACCTCTTCTTGGGGGCCTGGGCGGTGCGCGGGGGGGTCACCGGTCGGCCCGAGTTCACGCCTCCGTACTGGTACTTGGCCTTCTTCTCCGACGGCTTTAGGATCTGGACACAGACACGGAGGTTCAGAGGTGAAGTAAATATAAAGTAAAATATAAAGTAAATATAAAGTAAAAACAGGGAAGGGCTGTAAGATTAATCGAAAAAAAAAATGTAAGTACTCAAATTTCTCCACAATAATTTTACTTGGCATAAAAACGCCTTCTAACTGTAAAAACTCTGTACAGACTAGGGCTGGGAAGAACAGGGTCCCTCACGATTCGATACGATACACAATACATGATTCGGTTTAATTTAATGCGCCTTAATAGTTCCAAAAATACAGTACATATTTTTCACAGTTTGGGGATTGGTAATTAAATTTTTTCACGGTTTGGGGATTGGTAATTACATATTTTTCACAATTTGGGGATTGGTAATTACATATTTTTCACAGTTTGGGGATTGGTAATTATATTTTTCAGTTTGGGGATTGGTAATTATATTTTTCAGTTTGGGGATTGGTAATTATATTTTTCACAGTTTGGGGATTGGTAATTACATATTTTTCACAGTTTGGGGATTGGTAATTACATATTTTTCACAGTTTGGGGATTGGTAATTACATATTTTTCACAATTTGGGGATTGGTAATTACATATTTTTCACGATTTGGGGATTGGTAATTACATATTTTTCACAGTTTGGGGATTGGTAATTACATATTTTTCACGGTTTGGGGATTGGTAATTACATATTTTTCACAGTTTGGGGATTGGTAATTACATATTTTTCACGATTTGGGGATTGGTAATTACATATTTTTCACAGTTTGGGGATTGGTAATTACATATTTTTCACAATTTGGGGATTGGTAATTACATATTTTTCACAATTTGGGGATTGGTAATTACATATTTTTCACAGTTTGGGATTGGTAATTACATATTTTTCACAGTTTGGGGATTGGTAATTACATATTTTTCACAGTTTGGGGATTGGTAATTACATATTTTTCACAGTTTGGGGATTGGTAATTACATATTTTTCACAGTTTGGGGATTGGTAATTACATATTTTTCACAGTTTGGGGATTGGTAATTACATATTTTTCACAGGTTTGGGGATTGGTAATTATATTTTTCACAGTTTGGGGATTGATAATTACATCTTTTTCACGATTTGGGGATTGGTAATTACATATTTTTCACGGTTTGGGAAAAATATCTAAAGGTGATTTTTGAGACAAGTTTTGTAATCACAATTAGATTTGCGGTTTCTGCATTTTTATAAACCGGATCCTCTTGAGATTGAAGCGTCAGCATTTATCTGTGGAAAATGGACCTGTGGGTCAATGGACAACCACTCTACCAACTGAGCTACTGTCGCTCAATTGTTGCATGTTTTATTGGATTGATTTGATTGTGATTAATCTTACAGCCCAAACCCAGACACAGGGAGAACGTGCAAACTCCACACAGACTGACCCCGCCTTAAACGCCTTTAAAACACCGAGCCTAAAAACAACACCCACAGTGAACCTAGCGCCCGATCCATTTTACCTGGAAGGAGCACATGAGCGATTCGTCCACGCTCATCATGCCGCCGGCGTTATCAAACTCCCCGCAGTAGTTGGGCGCCGAGAACAGGGTGACCAGCTGACGTTTGGCAAAGAACTCGTACCCGTCCTCCACGACCTGTTGAGAAAGCACGCCGTTATAATAGCTCTGCCCAGACAAATCAATACCCGCTCAAAAACTCATCACGAACAGCGCGCACAGTCTAATAACAGCGCTGGAGAGGTTAGAAGTCCACACCTCCTCTGGCTAAATCTACACGAGCAGAGGAGATGGAGATGCAGAAATGGATTGAGTCGCCTGAACCATGATGTTAAAAGGCGCTATATTACACAAAATGGACTCTTGTGAGGTTTAAGCCATGTTATAATGTTGTTTCACCATCAAAAACAGACCTGGAGTTGTGTTTTGCTTCATTTGCACGTGTTTGCAAAGCTCAAAATGCTCCGTTCCTCAATAAAGATTGACTGAAATTATCCAAATGATTCTAGTGAAAGTGTTTAGAGTTTAAAAACACAGTGGAGCATTTATTATATTATCGCATCACAACATGGAATAGATTTTTTGTTTGAGAGAAGAATAAGAACAAGGTACCGTATTTTTTGGAATATAAGGCGCACTTAAAATCCATTCATTTTCTCAAAAATCTACAGTGCGCCTTATAATCCGGAGCACCTTATGTGTTAATTCTGGTTGTGTTTACTGACCTGGAACCGATTTTATGTGTTACACGGTGCTCAAAAATCTGTCAAAATGTTTAAGTACGACTTTGATGAGCTAAGAAGCTGCACCACTTGATGGATTGTCGCTACTGTAGTCAGGAGCCTCTCAGACTTAGTCCGACAGAACCTGAACCGCATCAGTGCACAAAGAACGAGCAGTTTTTTTTTCAGCGTTTATAGTTTATGCAAATGAGTCATGTGGTTTTAAGTTTTGTTTCTGTAAAACGTAAAAAAATGTGCACAAAGCTGACTTATGTATGAAAATAGATGAGAGAATTCAACATTATTGATATTGCACCTTATAATCTGGTGCGCATTATAGTCCTAAAAAATTATTTTGGTCATTACTGAAATCACGATTATTCAAACGATTTTTTTTTTTGTTACAAGATGCATTTATTCAGCATTTCTCTCTCTCAAAAAAAAAACACTTTGTTATTTATAATTTATGCAAACCTTCCAAATTTAAAATAAATATAGGCTACAAATGAATGTTAGAGCAGTTTTGCAATGTATAAAACATAAAATGAATAAAATATACTTTGAACATGAAATAAGGCATAGAAAAACATAAATGTATCCTAAATAAACTATATATCCAGCTGTTCTACAATCTCTATATTTAAAAAAATAAACTAAATATACTTATTTATATAAAAATATCCCTTATTATATGAGTTTGGAGATTGTTTGACACACAAATCGAAATCGTGATCAAAATTCGATTCATTGCACAGCCTTAGTGTAAACAATGTTTAAGTTCCACGTTTCCATTCGTGCCTAGTTCACTACAGCTCCACATTCAAGTTTGTCTCATTCTCAGTTTATGTTCAGGCCTCATGTGAAAGCTCAGAACCTCCAGAATTCCCTCACTGAGCGGCAGAGGCTGCACTAGCACTGACTCATGATTGGCTGCAGGAACTGGGGTTTAGGTAAAGAGGCATTTTAGGTTTAAACCAAATGTGTTACAATTAAACCATTTACCAGAAAGCTTTTTGGTACTTCAACTCCAAACATTTACAGAACGCTGGTTTAAACACATCCTCATTCTCAGTGCATTCCTGTCATGTTTTCTGTCTCGGTGAAGCTCTCGGTGCCGTACGAGGTAAGGAAAGTGACGGGCCCTGGAGTGAAGTGGAGAGCTGGATTCTTGCGGCGCGTGTGGGCAGAGCAGTCAACACAAAGTGAAGAGAGTGACTAATCGAGAGGAGCCTGCAGCCTGCTCCCGTGTCCTTGTGTTCTCAGCACCGACAAAACTCTCCACTAATATCTACAGGTGACAATCAGTGTTCAAGCTGAGGTACGCTTCATTCATAGGTTTCAGCGTACTGTTACATGCAATGTTTTGTAGGATTTTTTCATGTTCAAATGATACAGTGTTTAGTTTTTCATTGTTAATCGCCATGGGAACAGTCCGAACAAACTTTACTGATCCACAAAGGAAATATCACAAGAGATCTTCTGTATTATTCTGAAACCCGTGGATAAGTTGCGTTCATGTGACGTCGTAAAATATCAGAAAAATGTATTGATACTTTGCAACAACGTCATGCTGGGGGTATTCTGCATGTACGTCTACGGGGAAAGCTTGTGACTAGTGTTATCTGAGATGGACTCGTTTAACAGCGCAAATCTTCTCACCTGTTGCGGTTCTTTCTGGTCAGATTATGCTAAAAAATAAAACTCAGATTAAAATTTAAAGGGACAGTTTGGGATTTTGGACACAGGACCTCATTTCCTAGTGAGCCAGAGCGTTGGAGACGTGTGGAGACACTTTTTAAAAATATATTCCATCCAGTTCTTGTATTTGCAGAGGTCGTTGGTGCTAGACTAGTGCATGTCAATGGTCACAGTTATCCTGCCACTAAAAACAGTCTTACCCACTCCACAAAACACCCGAAGCAAATCTATTATTACACCAGACTGTCGATGTAAATGTCTGTGTTGATAGAATCACTTTAGAAGTAAAACCAACCTTGCATTTGAAGGATTTATGTCTGAGCAGCCGCAGCAGTACTTCCCGGCGGACTGATATTTGAGAAAATAGTCCCTCAACATGAAACGATTCATACGATGCAAGGTTAGTTTTATTTCAAACATTATTCTATCAACACAGACATTTACATTGACAGTCTGATGTAATAATAGATTTGCTTCGGGTGTTTTGTGGAGTGGGTAAGACTGTTTTTAGTGGCAGGATAACTGTGGCCATTGACATGCACTAGCCTAGCACCAGCAACCTCTGCAAATACAAGGATTGGATGGAATATTTAAAAAAGTGTCTCCACATGTCTCCAACACTCTGGATCATGAGGCCCTATGTCCAAAATTCCAAACCGTCCCTTTCATCGAGGACACGTCAGGTGGCAGATTTGTTGACTTGGTTTATGGTTCATATCTGTGTAATTATTGGACCTATCCACATGAAACTAAAACTGGCACAAATCTTAAAGGTGCATTGTGTAACCTTTCTGGTAGAGGGTCTGTTTCTCTGGATGTCATTGCTCTGCCTGGAATGTTCCACAGTATGACATTAAACAGCTCGACCTTACATTTATTCATTTAAAGGTGGTTTTAAAGCTCAAAAATCCCTAGAAATACAACATTCTGACTGTGAGCATGGTCGCCTCTCCACAGATCTGAGCTGTAACTTGGTCTGGTTTGGTCTCCATGAAGATAGAAAGGTTTAAAGCCATACTGTGAAACATTCCAGACAAAGCAATAACATCTCCATGGAAAAAAGCATTTGTTGGCACTACAATTCAACCCCAAAGATGTGATTGTGGTAATTTGCAAGAATTTAAGATTAATTTGGCAAGCTTGTGGTGTCAAATATTAAGACTGATGAAGATTTTAAATTTGTGGATTTAGACTTTTTAATTTTCAAATTCTAAAAAGGCAAACATGAACCTAGTGTCACTGAAATTGGTCACTGGGGCAACCTGTCAGCTAGATTATTTTCTTGTGGGGAAGAGAAGGATCCCGCTTAAAATTTGACAAATAAATAAACTGGTCAAAAGAGGATTGAAAAAACAAAACAAAACAAAACAATAATCATAAAAAAAGACATCTATTCAAGGTTTGAGCAAATCTAAACTAGTCAAAACTACCAAAACAAGACGATTCTGAATCCAAGCTTTTTTAACCCATTGCCCCGTTCTGCTGCAGCCCCCCGTTGTGGTCACCTGGTGCGCTCTGCAGATGAGGTCCAGGTCGTGGCGGTTGAGGAACTTGCTGACCACATCTGCCCCGAAGGTGAAGGAGACTCCGCGGTCGTTCTCCCCCCAGCCCTGCACGTCCTTATCGGGGTCGGACCACAGCAGGTCGCACAGCAGGCCTGGAGCAAAGAGCAGAGCAACAACGTCTGGAAGGTTATAATCCCACCGAGGTTTTTAGGTTTTTCTAATCATGACTTTGATTCTGTGGGAACGGGATTGCGATGTATTTATCATCATTTTACATCAGTTAAAGAAGACCTATTTGTGCTTTTGTCTGTTGTATAATTATTATCTTTGACATCCATGGACCATTAAGTTACAATTTGTACATTTTAAATCGTAATATTCATCTAAAATTGTTCATTAAAAAACACATCCACTGACTTCCGTGTTTGAAAACTGGGTATCAAAACAAATGTGGTGACTTAAAGACAAAATTAGAAAGAGCATGGATTTCTTCAGAATCGACAACTGAAACAAGTAAACTATTATGTATCTGAGGAAACAGAAGTTTTGTATTTTATTCGGAATGATACGAGCGTCTTCCAAAGGAGATGTCTTCCGTATTTGAGGGATGTGCACCATTTGATTGATTTAGTCCTGGTTTAGACTTTTCTTACTTCAGAAGTTTTTGTCTTCAGCTGGTAAACATATGCCGCAAACCATTTTTTGAGGAGGTCCTTGGTGAAGGTTTGAGAGCCACTAGATTAAATGGAGTCCATAAAGGCATTTTACGACGACATAAACCGATCATGTGCGAAATCCAATAGAGCTTTTTATTACGGAACTAATAATCAAGCCAGTATTTCTCTGCTGAAGTTACAGGGCCCAGATATAGTTTATGCAAAGTAGTTAATATATTCACTCCCTGGAATCAGCTCTCCTGTTCAGAGACGAATCAGGACTCTGGGTTCACACATGTTCTTGCTTCGAGCTATTACATTTAACAGACTATTTTAACTGACAATAGCATCCTCAGGCCACCTCTTCCCCACCCCGAGGAGAGCCTACTGGTTCAGGAGCTCCACCGTCAAAAGCTCAAGTGGATGAGCAGATCTCGGTCAGTAAATGCCAAGAACTGAGACTGAAAGTCCAGGAGAGAGTTCAAAGAGGCTCAAAGGGCTCTCAAAAACACAGCACATAAGCTCCAACATCACATCACAGTAAACTCCGCTATCTGCACAACCCATCTGTGAGGGACAAACTCAACCTGAAGCAGGAACTTCAAGTGCCAAGCGTGAAGTCTGAGAGCTGAAAGACAAACTGAACGACCAGAACAAGCTCAAAGAGTTTTCAAAGACTCTCCAAGTGATTCTGCTGTGAACCCTGTCATTTTGATCTTAAAATGTTTGTATTAACTCACGCTACATGATCCTGGTGTTTTTATTTCGCTATTTTGTCCGTAAATTCCTATTCCTATTGGAGCTCCAAATTCACTCCTATAACTACTAGGATTGGTGAGCTTCATTAGACTGAAACTGAATGCGTAGTCCACAGTCTATGTTGAATACTTCACCTCCTCAATTGTAATGATCTTATAAAAATGATGTGATTCTATAATGTACGTGAAAATGACTAAAGTTTATTCATATAAGCAGCAGTCCTACCTGTGTCTGGTACATCTGTGGGCCTCATGATCCTACGAATCTGCTCCATGGACTGCAGATCAGGCGACAATCCTACAAAGACATTAAACACATAGACTCATTTAGTTTCAAGCTCACAGTTAGAGGACACAGACTAGAGCAGACGGTGAGTGAAAATGCTCCTCACCCCCGTGGCAGCAGAAGATCTTCTCGTCGATGATGGCAGCGATGGGCAGGCAGTTGAAGCAGTCAGTGAAGGTCTTCCACAGTTTGATGTTGAACCGGCGCTTACCTGCAAAATGAACAATCGATAAGTTTTAACAAAGAATCTAGAAAAAAAAGTGTGCAGGAGCCTAAGCGCATCTCTGTTTAGGTTTGATATTCAACAAACAAAAGGGTGTGAGTGATGAAATTAAAACCTGCTGGCTGATTCTAGCCAACTTGTGACTGTAATGTTATTTGAAAGTGTCATAACAGCACAAATCAGCTCAGTCAGTTCTTTCTGGTCAGATTGTGTTAAAACAAAACTCAGATTAAAGTCTAACTTGAGTAACAGAGCTTCAGACAGACCAGTGCTTCAAGTTAGCCTCACCCAAGGAATGTCTTAAAGGTTGGAACTTGAACACAGCAGCACAGTGAGTTTTGGTGATTTCTGTTTTTTTTTAACTTGCAAACATATTGGATCTAGTCGCTAATGTAAACAAACGTAAACACCAAAGAAAAAACTCAATAATTTTCGTAATTATCAGTATTTTGAGATTTCACTTCTTGGATTTGTGCCGATTGCCTCAAAATCTGAGCCGACTGCCCTGCGTGACGTTAGTTGGCAAAAAATGATTCCATTTCTAGAGTATTCCTGGTTAAATGAAGTCTAATTTGAGTCTTCCTCAGACCACATAAGTGTTGCGGTAGGTTAATTTGGAAAAGTCGATGTTTCTGAAAACCAAAAGCTACATTTTACACTAACCACTCTGAGTTAAGCAAAAGAAATAAATTAAGATTAAGACAAAAATACTGTTATATATGTTACATGAGATTGGCAATTCCAGGTCTGAATGATCCAAATGATTCTAGTGAAGGTGTATGGAGTTTAAAAACACAGTGGAGAACTTTCTGTATTCTGTTGTTTGCCGCTTTATGGTTTTTGCTTTCATTTGACTTTATTGGTTTTATTGTTTTAGGACTTTATGACAAAATTTTAGCAATTTACCTTTTTGTGGTCTTAATTTTATGATCTCTATGCAGCACTGGAAACTGCTTTGTTTGTAAAATAAAGTGGATTTGGATTTTGGATGTGAAGAATTCAGTCTAAATATACATGTGTGAATGAAACAAAACACAATACCAGGTCTGTTTGTGATGAGGAAACAACGTTAGAACATATCAGATCAGAAACTAGTGCAATATGGGCCTGTAAATGTCTTTTGGAGTCACTCACACTCGTCGTAGAAACCGTAGATGCGGTTGATGGAGGCGCACTCGTGGTTGCCCCTCAGGAGGAAGAAGTTCTCGGGGGTACTTGATCTTGTAGGCCAGCAGCAGGCAGATGGTCTCCAGGGACTGCTTCCCCCGATCCACGTAGTCTCCCAGAAACAGGTAGTTAGCCTCTGGAGGGAAGCCGCCGTACTCAAAGAGCCTCAGCAGGTCTGTGTACTGCCCGTGGATGTCCCCTGTGGACACGAGGGACAAAAGCGAGGGCGTTTGAACAAGTTTGAACAGCAAAACACAAATACAAACATGTCTAACTTTCCTGCTTCATTGGTTCTATATTCAAGGTTCCCACTCTTTTTCACTTACAAACTTTCAAAACTTTTCCATGACTTTTTCACGATCTAAAGTGAATTTTCCATGACTTTACGGCCCCTACATGTGTAGAATTGATCAGACTTTTAGGGCTAAATATGAAATGTTAACCCTTTCCACTCACCTTACGGTTTGGTAAAATACTGTCAGTGCATTTATTGTTGTCTCTTTTAAACAAAAGGCGCAGATGTTCGGAAATAATCATAATAGCCTAATGAAAACTTAACAGAACGCTGTAGTTGCGTGAAAGAGATACTAAAACTCCATGACTAGAAAATTACATTTTTCAGTTTCCAGGATTTCCATGACTGTCGGAACCCTGAATATTACGCAAAATTGACTCTTGAGAACTTTAAGCCATGATAAAATGTTGTTATCTCATCAAAAATTTACCTGGAGTTGCGTTTTGTTTCATTCACACATGTTTGAGTAATTCTGCACTCTCCAAACAGCTCCACAGCTCAAAAGGCTCTGTTCCACCTTGTGATGTCATGAAGCTGTAGTTTTCAAGAGAACAGCTACTGTTTGTCTTTTGTTCAGAAGAGCTTGGGAATTCAAGGACTAAAATTATCCAAATGATTTTAGTGAAGTTGTATGGAGTTTAAAAACACAGTGAACCACTTTCTGTGCACATGACATCACAAGGTGAAACAGGGTGTTTTCTTTTTGAGAGAAGAGCTCAGCCTATATAAATATACAGGGTTTGTGTGTTAAACCAGTGTGAATAAAACAAAACATAAGTCCAGGTCTGTTTGTGAAGAGGAAACAACATTATAACAGATCAGAAAACAGAGTATAATGGGCCCTTTAAAATATTACTTGTTCATCAACAATTACAGATGTGATGATTTCCAAATGGGATTAAAGACAAAACACTCTCTCATCAAAAGCCTCTGATTATTGCCATATTTCTTCATGATGTTGGCTGACATTCACACTGGGAGGCTTCAGACAGATGGAAAATATTGAGAATTAAAGTGGCAAAGCGACAGAACATTTCCCACAGGAACTTAAGCTGTGATTTTTTAGGAATGAAAAAAAAAAAAAGAGATCTAAACGGTTACAAAACATAACATTTCAGCAAAATGTCAGTCATTGACCTTTCCTAGATCAGACTTTTGCAGAATCAAATATCGTAGCACCAAACTATTACTTATCTCAGGTAAATGAAGTGATATAGTTTGTTTTGGCTGTGGTTAGATCGTCTCAAGTCAGGACAGAGGATTTTCACGCTCTATTGTCCAGTTTCAGATTCTTCTGGATTCAAACAAAATGTAGAAGAGACTGGCAGGTCAGGCAACTTGGATGAATGAGGATTTGCCATTTGTGCACAGAGATGCACTGAATCACAATATGACGATATCATAAAATAAGTGTTACTGGGTTCAGATTGCAATACATTTTTAAGCATCATTTTGTTCTATAATTGTTTTATTTACACATACAATACGTCTGACCGTCAAAAGTGATTAACATTTGGTTCAGCCAATCAAATGTATTCCTGGACTAACCCATGGATCTATTAAAATAACCGGAGAGGGTGTTGCTGCTTGTAGTTGCCTCCAGTTGACGAAGTGGCCACTCACTGATACTTCAGCGGAAAAAGTCCCCTGGGCTGAGAGAGGATTTTTCTCAGAGCGCAATCTAATCACAAACTGCTCGTGTTCGGCTGACAGGGCACCTACAACTTTCAAAAATATATATATAAACTTTTTCTCAGCTCAAAATCCTGTAGTTGTCTTAAAAAACGTTTTATAATTGCTCTGCTCTGCTCCGCTCTAGATCCTCTTGCTCCGATTGGTCAAAGCGATCATGTGACACACGAGCCTGCGATCCGTGCGTGTGTTCACGTGCATTCGCATGAGCCCGCGGGAGAAAAGACACTACTGCACATGCTCAGTCAGCCCACAACCACCGGAAGTACCTCGCCGGGCTAAAGGCGAATCTGAGATCATGTGCCATTGAGCTCGGCCCACTGATTTGAATGGGCGGTCATTTTGAAACCCCGGGACTTGGACTAACCTCGTTTCGTTTTCTCCAAATGGTAGATTACAACTGTACAGGGACGTAACAATATCTGAATCTCTCGATACAATATTTTCATGAAAAGCATCTCACGGTACGATATTCATTGCGATATTTTGAGTAAAACTGAATATATGCTACTTTTGTGTCATAATGCAAATAATTGAGATGTAAAAAATGTTTAATTAAAGAGTTATTTTTTGTAGATCAGACTGAAACAGAGCAAAGGATCATGGTATATGTAATTCTCTTTGTTTTTTGCACCATAACAATGAATTTAAGTAGAGAAACTTGTAATTTGATACACTGTGATGGCTCACGATATTATTGTGAGACTTTTGATGATACGATACCACGATATTTCAGTTATTCTTACATCCCTACAACTGTATCACATTATACAGTAGCAGCCACCACTACCTATTTCACCAGGCATTCAAATGTTACTACAGTCAGGTCTGGGAATCACAGGGTCCCTCATGATTCGATACAATACACGGCCCACGATACAATATTATCACGATATGGCGACACATAATCAATATATCACATATGATACTGTGTAATATTTAGCTATTTTGTAAGAATCAAATCCATTTTACCAAAAATATTTCTTTGTTAAAACATTATTTGTGCAAACTTAATATGAATCATCAAAACGATTACATAAACAAGTTTCCTTCCACCAAATAAGCAACAAAATTCTAGTGCAGTCACAAAAAAGTTGCTAAGAGGCCAAAAAATCTTCTTGCTGATATCTCGATACTGTATCACCAAATTTAGTGTCATAATACATCGTCATTTCAATATTTTTGCACACCCCGCACAACTAAAATGCACTAATAACATTTTAAATATTCTTCTCCTCCTTCTACCACGAGCGTTTTAATCCAGAGTCATGCTCCGTGGGACAGGAGCTGTGTTTGAGGAGGACACCAGATGTAGGTCAACACCAAAATACACCTGGAGTTTGAATTAGCAGCCTCCTGAGGGGACGAGGGGGTCAGGCTCTCACAGACGTCTCATCACTTCGGATCCACTGACTGAGAGCCACTTCCCTTTATATCCTCTGACCGTGCGCACAAAAGGCAGTATTTAGGCCAAGTGCCCCAACCCGAAATAGGTGAGGCAAAAAAAAGAAACACAGCAGCGATAAAAACGGCTGTTATGTGCAAAATGGACCCAGAGAAATACTGAAAAAATAAGTGTTAAAAATAAGAATGGTCCGATTTTCTGAGATGATACAGATACTAAATATTTGACTTGTTGCTGTGACCGATAACCAATATTTTTTTTTTAGTTTAAATGATAAAGTAATTTGTTACATGTCTGTGTAAACATGCAGTCATATTTTAGCCTAAATTTTGACTCATGAGTCTGTTCAAAACAACAGAGACTGGGGCAACACCGAGAAAATAATGTTGCCAAAATATGGGTCGATAACAATTTTGGAATGGATATATTGCCCGTTATGTTATGGCATTTTGAAGGATTTTTATACTACTTTTTGTACCACTGATGTTTGTATAAAAAGACCAGCATGGGGCACAAGGATTCCCACAGCTACTACAAAGTGGAAGTGATTTAAATGTGGATAAAACCGTGACTACAAGTTGGCTAGATGCTCACAGAAAAAGCAACTTGAGCTAAGACGGTGCAATAAATTGAATTTAAATTTGTGATTTTAATTATTACCCTTCATTTTATTACAAAAATATTAGGGGAGGGACAATTTTCACAAGATGAGACACGCCACGGGAACAAAACAAGACAAGATTTTGAGAATAATTTGTAATACATGAGTAGAGCGATCTTTTACACAATTTCGGTGTCACTATTTTTATATATTTTATGCAATATTTTAGCGGTTATTGGAACTAAAGCTTCTCAAACTGCATAACTCACCAGCTCTTAACTATTTTTCATCTAAGGTAAAGGTGAATTCAGGAGGAAAAAATCTCTCAAGATCATTTTTCTCATGTGTGCACAACCTTCTAGCAATTTAGTCTCGTCTCGATCTTGTCCCTCACTAAAAAATTTTATTATCAAAAAATACAATAAAGGTTTTTTTCATAGATTCTCACTATATTTGCGAGTTCAGAAATATTTTCAGTTTCAGTGAGAGCCTTTCCAGATTGATAATGTGTAAAACTCAACTCAGAGTGACACACAGATCAACCTGGCGTGAGCAAAAAGACAATTTTCTAATCTACATAGACTGAGGTGTATGCTTTTTGTTACTGTTGAAATAACTGACTTCATTTATGGGCCAAATTATAGTTAGTAGGGATAGGACGAGACACAATTTCCAAAATACGAGAACTATGAAAATGAGACAAGACAAGATTTTGACATTCTTTATAATAAATAAGTTCCCAATTTTAGCTTCACCATTTTTGATTCACATTATTTAATATTTTTACTGTCATCGTAGCAGTGTTTTTTGGGACTACAGCTTCTAAAAAAATGTAACTTGCCAATACTTAACTCAATTTTTTATCCAAACCAAACATAAAAACATAGGGGAAAAAAAATTCACATCTTATGGCATGAGATTTTGTCCCATTCCTAATAGTTACTGTGATTTTTGTTATAATCGATTAGCCCTAACATGAACTCTGAAAAGTTGAGAATGAGAATGTGATGAGGAGATGAGAATGTGTTTAGTCCTAACTTGTTTTATAATAGCTATAACTTGTTGTCTCCTTGTTAGAGTGTTTGTTTACAGAGGGAGCGGCGTGCTAGCGTGGTAACACTGATCATTGGAAGTGCAGGGTGGAAACACATGATGACAGAGGTTATATGGAGGCAAAAGCACAGCTCTTCTCACATTCAACTCCTC